CCCCTGGATCCTGCCCTACCAGGTCTCCCACACCCACCTCCCCACCAATTTGGATCGCTTGTTGTTCCCTTGTCCCTGGGTTTGTTATCCCCTCTGTTTTCTTTTTAATAGCACTATTATTTCAACCTAATATGTAAATATTTGGTCAATGAATGAATAGTTCTCTAAAGCATCATTCTTTTGAGAGTATTAAATTGTGGATACATTTTATTAATGATTGTTGTATTTACTGTCAGCTGCTTATAGTGGTAAAGAATGTTTTTTACAAAATATTTTCACTTAAAATTATAAAATAAAACAGTGATACTTAAAAGGATATAAATTTCATACAGTTTAAGCAGTGACTTTTCTTTTTCTTCCCTGAATTATATCTAGTAAGTAGCTAATCTTTAAAGTTCAAATGATGTTCTTTGCTAGTCTCTGGTTTTGCTCCTCTGTAATTCTCGTCTCCATTTACTATTAACCTGTTTATTAGATTAGTAGCGTACAAAGTTTTTTTTGCGGGGGCATACAAACATTTACTTTATCTTCTGCTACAAAGAATATTCTTTGATTCTTTATCTCAGATTAACAATTACTCTTTCTTTTTATGCCTCGACATTGCCCTTCACTTTTAAAAGTAGATTTAAGGTGTTCTGGTTTAGCATGGCCGTATTGGACTACATGAAACACTTGGTATTGTTTTGAGTCTGATGATAATAACAACTGGTCTTAATATCATTTTCACAATTGTTGCTGAGGTTAGTGTAAGAAAGAAAGAATGAAAAATTTTTTAGTTTAAAAATGACCACTAAAACACACTTGTAAATTACTATACATCATTTGCTCAAATTTTGACTATTCAAAATTTAACTCAGCAAAATCCTCATATAAAAATATAAGTACTTTCCAGGAGTAAATCAGAGAGCAGTAATCTGGATCTAATTTACCTCTCTACCTAAGATTAGTATTTCTTCACAATATTGGTTTTTCTTTTGAAAAAAACCATTTTGTCTCATGAGAGATTACATTAATAGGTTTCATAGTTTTGAGATATTATGAACAAAATTACCAACATTTTTCTCCTTAGGGAAATACCAAAGTTTTCATTTGTAGACTTCCTTCAGACATTTTCTTTAGCTTTAAAAGTGTTGAGCTATGAAACATATATTTTAATTTCATTATTATGAAAAAGAATGTATTCCAGGTAGAGAAATATCTTTAAATTGTTAAAATTCTGAGAAAAAGTCTGCCTAAGCACCTACAAGAAGTCTTCAAAAAGTTTCCAGAAAAATTGAACTGAAAGTTAATGGAGTTTTTCCATGAACTTTTTGAACCCCCTTGTATTATAGTTTTATGTAACTGAATTATTTGTGTGTCATGTATCTCAAGGCATGTAAAATGCTTTAATTTGATACTTCTTTCCCTTGTAGGAAGATACATTTCAGCAGTATGTGAAACCAGAGATTAACACACAACTTTCGGATTTCTGCATCAGTCTCACTGGAATCACTCAGGTTATAATTCTCTGTCCTTTTTTCTCTAGCACTGGAACGTTTTGGGGGGTTGAGCAGTTATACGCAACGAAGCAGTGAGGTGGTACTCTGAAGATTGACGGCACACGCAGATGTGAAGTGGTAGAACTAGGCATAGTTCAGGATGGTCCCAGTGTGTGTGGGAGAGTAAGACAATGGAGAAAATAGAGCTGTAGAAGAGAGGGCAGCTCTCAAAGGTTCTTAGGTGTGCTCTTTCCTGGGAACCTGGGCAGTCTGGAGGTTTTTAAGGAGGAGTGCAGTGCGGTGTACATTTTAGGAAGATCAGTTCCTGCGGTGTTATATCGTATGGTGTGGAGAAGTATGAGATTTAAGATTGAGAGACAATGTGAGGGTGTGAAAGCTTATGATTTAGAAGAGAATTTCAGTTTCTTCACTCTGGAAAATCAGCATGCCACTAGGTTGAGGCTCGAGAAGAAGAGCCACATGGGGATGACCTTAGACATTGGTGCTGGGCTTTTGTACTGTAATTGAAAGCAAGCCTAATGTTTGGCTACAAATAACTCTTATCTTAAAAACGAAACTTCCCAGTGGATCTAAATCAAGGTACATTATGAAGACTTTAGAAAATAAACAATACTGTCTCTTACTGTCCACCTTTATCTAACATATGAGTCTTTTGTAAGATTACGTGTCACTTCTTTGCTTTTTATGCTTTATTTTTATATCCTCAGGATCAGGTAGACAGAGCAGATACCTTCCCTCAGGTACTGAAAAAAGTAATTGACTGGATGAAGTTAAAGGAATTGGGCACAAAGTATAAATATTCTATATTAACAGATGGGTAAGTACCCAGAAAACGTAATCTTTTTAATTTGTCTTTTAAAATGCCCATCACTTAACTTTTAGAGTAGCCACAAAGAGTATTATCGCTTGCTGAAGAGTCCATTCTAACCCATAGCACCGCCAGGACAGAGGAGCACTGCCCGAGCGGGTTTCTATGCTGTGAGTCTGTGAGGAAGCAGACTGCCATGTATTTCTTCCCCAGAGCAAATGGACGGGTTGAACTAACAGCCTTTTGGGGGGAGGAGTCAGGTGCCTTAACCACTGCACCACCAGTCCCATAGGAGCCCAACATGTTCCTTTCACATTATCCCTCCTTAAATTCTGAATCCCCAGGATAAAAGGAGAAGCAAAGCTCTACATGATTAGAGGAAGAGTCATATATAAAAATAAAATGGCTTTCTGAAGACTCGTAATTTATCAGAACACTTTCTTGTTTTAAAAAAATGTGCAAACTCTTTTCCTTGGCTTTTAAAGTTGAACCCCACCTACCTATTTATGTAATCCAACTGCCAGTATTAATGTGTCTTGGGATTACAAACGTCCAACTTGGGTAAGTTTAGCTTATTGACAGTTGGAACTGGTTCTTAATATGTAAACTTGCCCTCCCTTTGAAACGATGGAACCAACCCCTACTCCAACAGATTCTGTCCCAATCACCTTCACCACTTGCTGCATCTGCAGCTTTTAAATCACTGAAAAGACGTCTAAGAGGCTTGTCCTGGACTAAACCAAAACCAAACCCACTGCCCGCACATTAATTCTGACTCACAGTGACCCTATAGGACAAAGTAGAACTATTCTTTAGGGTTCCTGCGGTCGCAAATCTGTTTGGAAGCAGACTGCCTCATCTTTTGCCTGTGGACTTGAAGCGTTAACTTCTTGGTTAGCATCCTGGTACTTTTCTCCTAGGGCACCGTTTGCACTGGAAACCAGAGCTCATTGCTATTGAGTAGATGCTGACTCATAGTGACTCTGCATAGGGTTTCCAGGGCTATACATCTTTGTCACAGGACAGCTTCTTTCTCCTGAGAAGCAGCTAGTGAGTTAAAACTGCTAGTCTGTAAACTCAACATGGATTTTGTGTCACCAGGGCTCGCTCTTTTCATGGGTTACAGTAAGGCTTAGTAAGAACCCAGTGGCTACACTGCTGCCTGGAAGATATGTTCAAGATACTTAAAATAAATGGACTCTATGATGTAAAAAACAACAGTTTTCCCTAGAAAGGGGTGAAAACAATCAAAACTAAGGAAGAACCATGGATACCTGCTTCTACTTAGTTACAAGTTTAACTTAAAGACCTAATTTAAAACAGATCTTTTTGTGATCCTTGGACTGCCTGCTTGTTTTATTCCCACAATTTTACCACGATTTATCTTTTTTCCTATGTGCTTTTTCTTTTCTCTCCTGAAAGGTTTTTTTCCAACTATATCTTTATTATTATTCAATGTCTGCCTTATGTGTTACCCTACACATTATAAATCACATTCACTCTTTCCCCCCTGAAATGTTATAGTCTCTGTGATTAGGATCATTTGTATTGGCAGCTAATTGAAAAAAAAAAAGAAAGAAAGATTAAAACCAGGATTAAAGACATTGATTCAAGACAATCATGCCATAAAAGCCAAAGAAAGCCCTAGAAAACTTCTGTGTCAAATAATGGACACATTCTAAACATGAGTTATCACCTACATAGAGGACTTAGCGGTTGTTGATACAATAAGAATAAAATAATTACATCAGAATTAACATTTAAAATTTTTTTATCAAAATATTTCATTATAGAAGTATTAGAAAATATTGATGGAACTTCTAGAAATTTGCTATTGATTTTAAACAAAAGAAGAGCTGTTCCTATCCAAGTGGACAGGTAGTTTCTGCCATAACAGTATTTATAGTTCTGGAAAAACTGTCAGGTCTGGGAGAGGTCTTTTAAAATCCATACAATTTTGCAATCAGATCATTAACAACAATTTATAATTCCAGAAATATTTAGATAGGTTAGGCAAGCAGTTCAGGCTAGATGGGAGTTGCCTGAGAGAATATTTAAAATGCAGAAAGGCAGTAGAATCCTGAAGCAGGCACTCGTTTGAAATTCTCTTTATCTACAAATGGAAAGTACTCTGGACACCAGTACACCAGCTGGACTGAGGACTTTTTTTGCTACTAAAAGCAATAATTTCTCGTGCCATTATTCCTCCTGTTTTACCAAGGAAAAACTGGGTTTAAACCAACAGTTTCTGCATTATACAGTCACTATTCTACTTAATTATCCAAGTTGACTAACTACTTGATAACCAGGAATTTTTTCTTTCAAGGTTTTTCTGTGCTGTCCACAAGGTTCTCGGTGTTAATTCCTTTGAAGTTTTTCCTTCTTCGTGATCTGTTTAGTCTGAAGCCGTTTTGAAAGCTGTCCTCCTCGGCTCACTGCTGGTATTGTGCAGTGCTAGTGACACAGCTTCCGTGTCACCACCGACCACGAACTTCCAGTTATGTTTCCAATGTATGCATCAGCCACTAAAACTAATAAAGAAATGGAAGAATTTTACCAACAACTTGATCAGGCATGCATTCAAGATGCATTGATAATTATTGGTCATTGGAATGCTAAAATTGGAAACAAGGTGGAATAGTAGTTGGACAATATGGCCTTGGTGACAAAAACAAAGCCAGAGATTGCATGATCGAATTTTCAAGACCTATCGCCTATAACTATTTTCAGCAATGCAAAAGGCGATACATGTGGAATTGTCCAGAGGAAATACACAGAGATCAAATGGACCACAGCTGTGGGAAGATACGACGGAGAAGCTCAATATCAGCACTAGAGCCAGGCCGCGGGCTGACTGGAGCAGACCATTAGTTGCTCAGATCTAAGTTACGGGTGAAGCTGAGGAAAATGGAAACAAGCCCACGAGAGCCAAAGTACAACCTTGAGTGTATCTGACCTGAAATTCAAGAACACCTCAGGAACAGATTGATGCTTTAATTAGCAGTTTTCAGCCTGTGGGTCACGACCCCTTTCACCGGGGTTGTTCGATTCATAACAGTAGCAAAATTACAGTTATGAAGTAACGAAAATAATTTTTAGTTGGGGGTCACCACAACATGAGGAACTGTATGAGAGGGTCACAGCATGAGGAAGGTTGAGAACCACTGCTCTAAACACTAATGACAGAAGACCTGATGAGCCGTGGGATGTCATATAGTAATTATACAAGAAGAAAGCAAAAAGTCATTGCAAAGGAAAGAAAGAAAAGATCAAAGATAACGGAAGCGACAGATGATGAAATTAAAGAGCTGAGTTCAAAAGGCAGCTCAAGAAGACAAAATATTATCATGAAAAGCACAATTTCCTAGAGTTAGAATGCCATGGACGAACACCTCAACATTTTTTAAATTGAACTCAAGAAAAATTCAAGCCTCGAGTTGTAATATTGAAACATTTTGTGGGCAAAATACTGGATGCTGCAGGAAGCATCAAAGGAAGGTGGAAAGAATACATAGAATCACTGTACCAAACAGCTAGTTGACATTTGACCATATCAAGAGGTAGCATGGTACTGAAGGAAGTCCCAAGTTGCACTGAAATTATTAGCAAAAACAAAGCTACAGGGAATGATAAAACACCAATTGAAATGTTCCAAGGTGAAGAAACACTGGAAGCACTCAATGGTTTATGACAAGAAATTTGGAAGACAGCTACTTAGCCAAAAGACGAGATGGGATCTGCACTGCTATCCATTCCAAAGAAAAGTGACACAACAGAATGTGTAAATTATAGACCAGTATTATTAATATCACATATACGTAAAATGTTGCTGAAGGTCATCTAACAATGGTTGCAGCAATACATTGACATCTGCCAGAAATTCAGCCTTGATTCAGGAGAGCACATATAGCAAGGACTATCCTGGTTGATCTCAGAACTCGGCTGAAAGCAGAAAATGCCAGAAATATGTGTACTTGTGTTTTGTTGGATATGAACAAAGTATTCAACGGTTTGGACTGTATCATCCTTGAGAAGAACAGGAATTCCAGAACCCTTAATTGTGCTCATGTGGAACCGCAGTTGTGGGAACAGAACAAGGGACTACTCCATGATTAGATTCAGGAGAGGTATGCATTAGGGTTGTCTCCTTTCATCATATTGATTCGATCTGTATGCTGAGCAAATAACAGAAACTGGATTATGTGAGGAAGAATGCAGTATGAGAATTGGAGGAAGGTTGATTGACAACCTGTAATAGGCCCATGACCCAACCTTGCTTGCTAAGAGAGGAGGATGACTTGAAATAATTGCCAATTAAGATCAAGTACTGTAGCGTTCAGTGTGGATTGCAACTCAGTGTACAGAAAAACACAGTCCTCACAACTTGACCAATAGATAACATCATGATAGAGAAAAGATTGTCAAAGGTTTCATCTTGCTTGGATCCACAATTAATCGTCATCGAAGCAGCAGTCAAGAGATTAAATGATGCATTGCACTGACAAATCTGCCCACAACCTCTCGTTGAAAAATAAGGGTGTTTCTTTGACAAAGTGCACCTGACCCAAGCCATGGTATTACCGCTTCATGCGCGTGTGATATTTGGACACTGACTCAGGAAGGCAAAAGAAGAATTGGTGCATTTGGATCACAGTGCTGGTGAACAGTATTGAAAGAACCACAGACTGCCACGAGAGCAAACAAACCTGTGTTGGAAAAAGTTCAGCCATGACGCTGATGAGAAGTGAGGATGGGAGGACTTCATCTCACGTTCTTTGGGCACGTGATCAGGAAAAAGTTCCCGGAGAAGGACCTCATACATAGTAAAATAACGGGGCAGCAAAAAAGAGGAAGACTCTAAAGGATTGAAGGTAAACAAGTGGCCATCTAGCTGAGAAGCAACAAAGCCCACAGGGAAGAAGCACACCAGCCTGTATGATCATGAGGTGTTGATGGGATCAGGTATCCAGGCATCATCAGAACAAAAAATCATATCATTGTGAATGAGGCGGGGAGTGCGAGTGGAGACCCAAAGCCCATTTGTAGGCCACTGGAGATCCCTTGCAGAGGGGTCTCGGGGAGGAGACTAGTCAGTCGGTGCAGTGTAGCAACGATGAAACATACAACTTTCCTCTAGTTTCTAAATGCTCCCCCCCGCCGACTATCACGATCCCAATTCTACCTTGCAAATCTGTCTAGACCAGAAGATGTACACTGGTACAGATAGGAACTGGAAACAGGGAATCCAGGGCGGATGATCCCTTCAGCACCAGTGGTGAGAGTGGCGATACCGGGAGGGTGGATGGAAAGGAGGAACTGATTACAAGGATCTACGTATAACTTCCTCCCTGGGGGACAGACAACAGAAAAGTGGGTGAAGGGAGATGTCGGACAGTGTAAGATATTACAAAATAATAATTTATAAATTATCAAGGGTTTATGAGGGAGGGGTAGCGGGGAGGGAGGGGGGGGGAATGAGCTGATGCCTGGGACTGAAGTGGAGAGCATATGTTTTGAAAATGATGAGGGCAATGAATGTACAAATGCGCTTTGCACAATGGATGTATGTGTGGATTGTGATAAGAGTTGTATGTGCCCCTAATAAAATGATTTTTTTTTAAAAAAGGAAGACTCGACAGCATAGATGGACACAGTGGCTGCGACAGTGGGCTCCAACCACGCTTGTGAGGATGGCGCAGGACCTGTTTCATTCTGTTCTGCAGAGTGCCTATGAATCAGAACCACCTTGATGGCACCTAACAAGCTTTTGTTTCGCTTTGTTTTCTTTCAAAGCGTACGTCCACAGAGACCTTATGTGATACCTAGCTTTGAAAGTAAAGTAGGAAACAATTATTTTAGAATTATGAAAAAAATACTACACCTACATCGCTTATCAGAACCATAAAATCAATCAAGGGAGCCTAATCAGAATCAGCCAACTTCTAGTTTTCTGTGATTAAAACATTTTTTCCCTCCATGAGTCCTTTGGGGAATTCGAGGTTAATTTGATCAGCCTGGTGTTATGTGTCAATGTGAGAATGGCAACTGACATGAAAACTGAAAAAAACCTAGAATGATTTAAGATGATAATTTGAAATAACAATGGAATTTATTGTATCCTTTCCCCCCCTCGCCTTTTAATTACAAGGTCATGGGATATGAGTAAGTTCCTGAACATTCAATGCCAACTCAGCAGCCTCAGATATCCTCCCTTTGCCAAAGAGTGGATCAATATTCGAAAGTCATACGGAAACTTTTACAAGGTAAAATGTGTAAAACTTAACTGATTTAACTCCTTTCTAACTGATAAATTTACTATGTTCTGCATGCAGATTAAGTTGTGATTTACCAAGTTCTTTTCATAGAAATCAAACAAAAAAACCCTCATTCACTGCCATCAAGTGGATACCAGACTCAGAGCAAACCTGTAGGACAGGGTAGAACTGTCCCTTTGAGTTTCAGAGACTGAGCTATTTATAGGAGCAGAAAGCCAGGTTTTTTCTCCTGACAAGCAACCCGTGGTTTCGATTGGCCAACCATGTGGACCACAGCTGTGCTAGTCTGGGTTGACTAGCGAAACAAATTCATAAACACGCATATGTATATAAGAGAGGTTTATATACAAGAGCAGTTGAACATTGAGAAAACTTCCCACCCCAGTCCAGATTAAGTCCATATGTCCATATTAACCCATATGTCCAATACCAATCTATTAAGTCCTCTTCAGACTCCTGAAACACATGCAGTGACACTGAGTGTAGAATGGTCACAGACCAGTGGGTAGAAAGTCTTTGAATCCAGTGGCATTGTAAGCATCTCAGTGCTGCCAGGGGTCTCTATGTGGCTTCTCCAGCTTCAGAGGTCTGGTTGCATCAGGGTAGGTCCATGTGACTTCTACAGTTCCGGGCACTAAGGTAGTTCCTTGTCTTGTCAGCTGCAACACCATCTCCCAGGGAGTGAGCAGAGAGGTATGTCCCGCCTCCAAGGAAGAAATACAGGATTCTCAGGAGAAGGCCATGCCCACACGGAGGCCTCATTGGCTATGATCTGATTGACAGACTAGACTCCACCCCTACACCCATGATCCTCAACACAAATGATTATATAACTACCACAACAGCCTACTCATAGGACATATAATCAGTAGTTACTTTTCAGATTCCTAATTTGTTGAGATTTGCTAAGAAAGGTAAATCATTTTTCCTAATGAAGTTATTTAGACAAATTAAATGAATATGACCTTCAGTGACAAACCTCTCAAATTGTAGTTATTTAATGTATGCTTGCTTCTGTAACAAGCAAATCATCTCCACTAACTGCCCTTTTTTTTTTTCTTAAAGTAAACCTTTAATTTTTTATTTGTCTACCTTTTAAAAATTCGTTTAAACATTTAATTTATACGATGCATATGAATTTTTCAAATAGTACAGCATCCCTTACCACAGTCCTTACTAGTGCTGGTTCCTAGTCTTCCGAGGAAGATATTGTGAAATTTTTGTTTTTGCCTGTTTAATATTTACCTTGTTGTGTGGTTCGACACAACATAAGTTGATTTCAAGGCGTGACACCATCTACAGGAGAACTGCCCTGACTTACCCTGGCTGTAATGTTGATGGAAGTAGACTTGAGTCTCTGTCCTTAGCACAGCTGGGTGGGTTTGAACTACCACTGACCCTCTGATCAGTAGCCAAGCACTTAACCATTTATGCCACCAAGGCTTAATGTTTATTTGCTATTGTTTGTTGCATGTTTATAGTAGTTCTGGGATTTTAGACACTTACTCCTCTGCTGTGGACGGGAAAGGTTTAGCTGTGAAACCACCGCTCCTGCCTGCCCTGCCCCTCCCTGCGTCTTTCTCACATAGTCCACTTCCTGTCTAGTCACCCCAGTATTCAGTGCCTGTGTTCTTAGGACTGTGCAGAATGCTCTCCAGCTTTCTTCAGATTGAATAATTGGCTCCTTTGTTGCCCATTGATCTGCAGTCAGACTCTTAAAGTCTCTTCTCAAGGGCTTTCCTTCACTGGACTGTCATGCATTGTCGTCATTTCCCCTTTACTGCTGCTTTGTGGTGAAGTGAATCTATGGTAGTTTTATGAGAAAAGGTGCTTTTCCTGAAAAACATGGTTGTGTGGGGGAGGGTGGGGTGGAGTGCATTTTGTTTTGTTTTTAATAACATTTTCATAAACTGAGAAATATCCATGAGTGGTGGACTTGAACAAATGGCTCACACGTGATAGCTTTGTATCACCGTCGTCAGGCCCTGTGGCGTACAGGAGAACAGAGCACCACGTGGTGGTCTTGTGTCATCAGCACACTTACTCCTACGGTTGAGCCTGTTGTTGCAGCCACTGTCAGTCCATCTCATTGAGGGCCTTCCTCTTTTGCGCTGCCCTGTACTGTACCCAGCATGCTGTCCTTTTCCAGGGACTGGTCTCCTGATAACGTCCCAAGTCCACGAGACAGAGTCTTGTTATCCTGGCCTCTAAGAAGCATCCTACTGTACTTCTTCCAAGCTGGATCTGTTTGTTTTGGCAGTCCATGGTACTTTGAATGTTCTTCCCCAGGACTGTCATTGAAATGCATCGCTTCTTCCTTCCGTAGTCACTGTCCACCTTTCACATGCGTATGAGGCTATTAAAAGTACCCTGGCTTGGGTCAGGCACACTTCACTGCTACACACCCGAAGCACCCTCCTCTTTTCCTAGAGCTAGCCAGAATTTGTACTGTCATGACCATGCCTTTGTTTTCTTTTATGGCTTTACTATGTGTATGTACATCCCAGGACCTTAGCACACTGCTGTATGGCGACAACAGAGGGTCTTCTCCCTCCCCCTCGCTTGAGAATCTGACCGCAGCTGAGGTGGGGTCCCCAGCTCCTCTGTTGAAGTGGTTTCTAAGATGTGCACAGAGAGGGTGATGGGTGGTTCATGCCAGTAAGCAGGCTAATACTACTGTCTTGAGTTTTTATTAACAACATTCTGAGGTAAGTTACTACCAACTTCAGTAACAGAAGACCTCCTACCATTTTCTCTCCAACCAGTTTTGTTATCACTAACTCCATGTTTATATTTTATGTGCCTTGTAGCATAATTGAAATTTTAATATATATTTGCCTGCTAATCCATGAGTTGACTGCATTTTGCATGCATTATTGATTTGAAGATCTTCATTTTGAATATTAGTCATTGGTTATATTTATAAGTATTTTCCTGTGTTATATGGATTTAGGTTTTCACTTATTTTGTGATTTTCTTTTTTCAATACTTTATGTTTTGAAAAATCACCACCATATACAAAGGTAAGCAGTGGTGCAGCGAACCATCCTAGCCAGTTTCAGCCGTTCCAAACTCAGTCAGCTTTGCTTTGTTCTACACTTGTGCACCTTTTGGTTTCCTGATGATTCTGATGCAGATCGCTGAGTTTACCTCATCAATAAACACTTCATTATATGTCTTCAAAAGATAGGATTCTTTACAAATATGTCTCCATGCCTAGAAAAACTGACAGTAGCTTTATAATATTACCAATTATTATGAGGATACATATTACTGTACGTTTGGAGCAGAATAATATCTATATATTGGTCATTGGTTGAATTGCCTCTTGAACTTCTCAGACATAGACTTCCTTGCCATCTCTTTTGTTCCGTTCCCTGCCATCCTAGAGCTCTTTAGGGTTCCTGACACTAAATCCTTATGGGAACGGACAGCTTCATCTTTCTCCCAGAAGTGACGAGTGGGTTTGAACTTACAGTTAGTAATTAAGTAGCCTGTGCCGAATCCATGGTGACCAGTGCTCCTTTTTGTGTGCTTCCTATGTGATTTTATTTTTTAAAGAAATTGACTAGTTTTTCTATACATTTTCTGTAGTCTTTTTTGCTAGATGTACATATATTGTTACCACCATGTTGATACAGTGGCTACAACAACGGGCTCAAACATGGGAATTGTAAGAATGGTGCGGGACCCGGCGGTGTTTCATTCTATTGTACAAAGGGGTGCTATGAGTCAGAATGGACCTGATGACCCCTAACAGCTAGAGTTGGTGATTTACTCTGATGTGTGCGCCCCTCTTCTGTATTTATGTCATGTAACGCATAAAAGTGAACTGTCGCTTACATCAGTGTGATCAGAAAGTTGTAGGTATAATAGTATAAAGACACTGCCAGTGCTCTTCTGAGTAGATGTTTTTGTAGTTTATTAGCCTATCCTTTCATGCTTCCCCCGCCGTGTGTGTGTGGGGGGCACTTCTCTTCATAATAGATATCAACTCGAATGCAATCAGTAATGTGAAGATCGGGCAAAAAGCATTGCAACTTGGATTCCAGAAACAGGTTTAAACCTGTCTCTGATCAGTGGATGGCTGGAAACACGTTCTCAGTAATACACGTGGCTTAGTCTTGTTAGGGTTCCTTTATAACAGATATCTTCGTGCCATGGAGAAAGTGATTTTGAAATCAGGGATAATGTAAAAATTTTAACAAAATTCAAGTGAACGTCTTCCCCAATCATTGAAGCGTTATAACACGTTTATGGGACTGCTGCCTCACGTAAGATAACAGTGTTTAGATAGAGTGAGTATTTTAAGGGTGGTTGAGAGCCCAGAGAGTGAAGCCCACTAGTCTTGTTGAATGAAGAAAATGAGGCCGAGGTTCAGAAACTGATGGCAGAAGATCATAAGATGACCATTGACGTGATGGCTACTGAAATGTACAGGTTCCTTACAAGCACCGTGAAGGATTCTAGGCTTCCCAGATTCGCCGTGCTACCACAAGTTTGTTATGATGCACACAGTCAAATGCCTTGCGTTGTAAAGAAAACCCAAGTAAACAGTTTTCTTGTGTCCCGTTTTCAGCCAACACCCATCTGACATCAGCAGTGAGATCCCTCATTCCATCTTCTCTTCTGAATCTTCCTCGAATCTCAGATAGTTCCTTGACACACTGCTGCAACCATTGTTGAGTTCAGCAGAATCTTACTTGCATGTGATGTTGGTGAGATTTGGTATTTCCTTGCTTTCTTTGGGAGGCGCCCAAATAGGGATCTCTTCCAGTTGGTCAGCTAAGTAGCTGTCTTCCAAATTTCTGACATAATGAGTGAGTGCTTCCAGTACTTTATTAATTTGTTGAAGTATATCAATTGTTATTTCATCAGTTCCTGGAGCTTTGTTTTCTTTCAGGGCAATTTGGACTTCTTCCATCAGTACCATCAGTTCTTGGTGATAATGCCAGCTCTTGAGTGATTGAATGCCAACTAATTATTTT